TCTTTTTAATATATTGCTTGCAGCTCATCTATCTTATTCTTATTTTAAGTTTGGATCTTTCTGTTCTTAATGATTCTCTAAATAAGAAAGTTAACTACCAAAGTTTTACTGCTGAGATGGATTGCAGGAAGCTAACCAGTATGTACATGTAGTTTTTTCTGTGTGTGGTTTTACTACTCATTTTTCTTAAGTTGAGAAGTATTTCTGGTGCTGAAAAGAAATGTTTTTTTTAAAGTCTATGTAGAACTAATACTGTGATTTTACTAAAAGAGTAATACTGTTGCCTGTATCCGTCATAGTTATGCAGTCTTAGTTATTTTCTGTTTGAAACCAGAAAATGATATGTTTAGTCACTAAGGTATATATTGTTTGGTTTCAGGAGATTAAGTGATGAACAAAACCTTCCTCTTGATGGTAAACGCCAACGTTTCCATTCACCTCACCAAGAGCCAACTGTAGTTAACCACCTAGTGCCTTTATCAGGGGAAAGAAGATACTCAATGCCACCATTGTTTCATGCACACTTTGTACCAGATATAGTCAGATGTGTTCCTCCTTTTCAAGAAATATCATTTTTGGAACCCAGAGAAATTACGCTGCCAGAGGCCAAAGATAAGGTAATAATAATACAGTTTTTGGGAAGTTCATATATATATTGAAAGCAATAGAACTATGTGCTGTTTTATATTAACTGGTAGGGCTTTTTCTCCTTACCTCTTTTAAATACCATTCAACATAGTTTTCTTTGATTTTGGTTAGCTGTTCTCTTCTGAAAACGTAGGTATCAGAGAATTGAATTTTCTGTGATTCACAAAGAAGTGGATTAGAGCCTAAAATAAATGTTTGGGTGGCTATTATAATAAAGTGTTGAAAAGCATTTTCTTTTGGTATATTTTTATTTATCCTGAGGTTTTTGAATGTATCAAAAAAAATAGAATCCAGGAGTCACGGGGGCGGGGGTGGTGGTGGTGTTGTGATCCATTCAAAATGTTATAATCAAGAAAAGTTTATCAAAAGCAATAATAAACAACATTTTCAAGAGGTGAAATGAAACTAAGTAATGATTTTTGAAAATGACATTGTTACCTTTGGGGAACAATGTTATTTAACATCCTGTATTAGATAGAAACATAATTCTCCCTCTTCATTATTAGTGTAATATTTAAAGATAAAAAATATACTAGGTAATAGCAAATTGAAACTCAATTCCATCTATTTGATTCTAACTCATAGCTACTCTTCATGAGTACAGACAGCCTCATCTTTTTCCACCTGAGAAACTTTTGATTTGAACTGCTGGTCTTGTGGTTAACAGTCAGTGCTTTCCTGACAGCAACACCAGGACTCCTTTAGGTAATAGGGAAGAGTTTATAATGTAATTGTCTGCATTGTCCTGAATTTTCTATGGCTTATAATTAATATTTTTTGCGTGTCAAACCTGCCTTATTCTTGGGAAATAAGACATTTTTAGGCTCAGGAGAAGGAGTCCAACGGGATCATGTGATTTTATTATTATTATTACTTATATATGGGTTCCCAGCTACCAGCATAGGTTTGGAACATAATAGGGTACAGAGAATGTTGTATCAAAAAACCAGTATGTGCTTCATTCTTTAGTTGTGTTAGTTTTTATCTTATATTCATTTTTTAAAAGTGGTAATTATACTATAAGGTATACGCTTTAAAAATTACCAGGGGATACCCCCCCAAAAAAAACACACCAAAAAACCCAAAAAAACCCACCCAATGCTCCTTTGTTGTTTGATGTGAGGGAGAAAGTGCATTTGGACTTTTTCCAGCAGGTCAGACTGTTGATCAAGCTTTTTACTTAGAGGTTCTGAAAAGAATGTATAGCAGTGTGAGACCAAAAAAGTCCGATTTGTGGCAGACGGGGAACTGATTGTGCCACCACGACAATGCACTGCTCACACAGTCATCTCAGTGGCTGGTTTTTGGCAAAAAACAGCATGCCTCTCTGGTCCCATGCACTTTAAACTCATTCAGTCTCGCTCCATGCGAATTCTTTTGTTTCCATGAATGAAGAGGGACATGGAAGGACAGCAATTTGATGGTATAGAAGAGGTGAAGAAAAAAAACAAGGGAGGTGCTGCCAGCCATCCAAACAGAGATGAGTTTGAAAAATGTTTCCAAGAATGGAATCTCAGATTTGACAAGTGTATTAAGTGTAATGAAGAGTACTTGAAGGTAATAAGGTTGTTTTTTAAAAAAAATTAAATGAATAGCTTTGGGGGGATGGGAATTACATCACACACACCCAGTACTCACTCATAAATAAAATCATACACTATGTGGCATTTTATGTCAGGTTTAATTAACTTGGCATAATGTCTTCAAATTTCACTCATGTAGCATTTGTCAGAAGTTCATTCCTTTGTATGACTGAATGATATTCCACTGTATGGATATGTTATATTTTATTTATGCATTCATCAGTTAATATTCATCAATTATGGTTACTATGTGTAATTTCTGATGAACAGTGAATAATAATGAATAATGTCATGAACATCTGTATACACGTTTTTGTGTGTATGTATGTTTTCTTTTCTTCTGGATATAAACTTATCAGTAGAATTGCTGCGCCAAATGTTAACTCTATACTTATGCTTTTGAGAAACATTTTTCCAAAGAGACTTTTCCAGCATTGTATGAGAGTTCCAATTATTCCACATCCTTGCTAACATGTATTAGATTATTGTTGTTTTTACTGTCTTCTTGGGGGTTAAATGGTATCTCACATGGCTTCAATTTGCGTGTCCTAGACTGTAAGGTCAGCAGTTTGAGTCCCATTAGTTGCCCCAGGGGAGAACGATGAAGCTCTGTCCTGGAAAGATGTATGTACTGTGTTGGAAACCCAAAGGGACAGATCTGCTCTGTCTATTGGGTCACTATGAGTTGGGATTGCGTAGGTGGCAGTGGGTTTGGTTTGTTGGTTTTGGGTGGCTAATGATGTTAAACTTACTGGCCTTTTGTACTTTTCTTTGGAGAATTATTTATGTACTTTTTAAAAAAATTGTGTTTTCTTTTTGATTTGTAAGAGTTCTCATACACTTTGGATACTAGATTCAGGTGATTTTCACATTTCTTCTATGAGCTATCTTCAATTTCTTGATGGTATACTTTGAAGCAAAATAAGCTTTTAATTTCAGTGAACACCAGTTTACCTTTCTTTGTTTCTGATTTATACTGTCACAGCTAAGAAACCATTGCCCAATCTACGGTCTTGTAGATCAATGTTTCTGTGTTTTAGGAGTTAGCGTTTTAGCCCTTATTCTCAGGTCTTTGATTTTAGGATTTTTTTTTTTTAATGGTGTGATGCAATGGTCAAACCTTATAGCTCCAATCTTATCCTTTTGTTGTTGTTTTTGATAGAGCTCCCTTAGTATAATTTTTTTAGAGACCACTTCTTCCTCTTGCATGCTTTTTTTACTTTAGGGAAAACATTCAAACACAACCAGTGGGAAGTTTTCTTCTCCTTTGCTTTTTCATTTCAAATAATTTTTTTTTCCTCCGAAGAAATTCTTGTAATGCTGTATGCAAAAGCACATGATATAAATAAAATCTGACCAGTTCTTTGATTAAATATAGACGCTTTTATTATGTGAGTTTTGGGTTGCTAACCACTAGGTCAATAGTTCAAATCCACCAACCACTCTTGTGTGATAAAGAGGAAGCTTTCTGCTCCCATAAAACCTTGAGAATCCAAAGAGGGTAGTTTTACTTTGTCTAAAAGGATTGATATGAATCAGAATCAGTTTGATGGCAGTGAGTAAGTTTATGTGTGTAGGCTTTTTGTTAGTAGAATTTATTATGTATAGATATTGAAGATTCTATTTTTACATGTGTTTATATATTTGTAATATTAGGCTATTAGAATTATTACTTCTGCATATGGGGTAGACCTCTTATGAGTCTCAATAAATAATTCACATTAGTCCCTATAAATCATCTGGCAAAGTATGGACAGTTATTGGTCTTTTGACCCAACTTTTCATTGGCTCAGAATCCAACCAAAATGCAAACCTGCTGCCATCGAGTAAGTTACAACTCATAGTTATCCTATGTAGGATTTCTGGGGTTGTAAGTCACAGAAAGCACAACCTCCTCTTTCTTCCACGGAATGGCTGATGGATTTGAATGACTGACTTTGTTGCCATCATTATTTTCATTCTAGGTGAGCCCTTGGTATCAGCTTCTCATTTTTTCCCCTCCCTCTCGCATCCTTCCTGCCTCATAAATCCTTGATAATTTATAAATTATTATTATTTTGTCATGTCTTACACTGACCTAT